GTGCCAGGAGCCTCGGTTGGTGCCAGGAGCCTGGGCTGGTGCCAGGAGCCCTCGGCTGGTGCCAGGAGCCTGGGCTGGTGCCAGGAGCCTGGGCTGGGTGCCAGGAGCCTCGGCTGGTGCCAGGAGCCTCGGCTGGTGCCAGGAGCCTCGGCTGGTGCCAGGAGCCACGGCTGGTGTTAGGAGCTCGGCTGGTGCCAGGAGCCTCGGCTGGTGCCAGGAGCCTCGGCTGGTGCCAGGAGCCTCGGCTGGGTGCCAGGAGCCTCGGTTGGTGCCAGGAGCCTGGGCCTGTGCCAGGAGCCTGGTCTGGTGCCAGGAGCCTCGGCTGGTGCCAGGAGCCTCAGCTGGTGTCAGGAGCCTGGGCTGGTGCCAGGAGCCTCGGCTGGTGCCAGGAGCCTGGGCTGTGGTGCCAGGAGCCTGGCTGGTGCCAGGAGCCTCGGTTCGTGCCAGGAGCCTCAGCTGGTGCCAGGAGCCTCAGCTGGTGCCAGGAGACACAGGCTGGTGCCAGGAGCCTCGGTTGGTGCCAGGAGCCTCAGCTGGTGCGAGGAGCCTGGGCTGGTGCCAGGAGCCTCAGCTGGTGCCAGGAGACACGGCTGGTGCCAGGAGCCTCAGCTGGTGCCAGGAGCCTCTGCTGGTGCCAGGAGCCTCGGTTGGTGCCAGGAACCTGGGCTGGTGCCAGGAGCCTCGGCTGGTGCCAGGAGCCTCGGCTGGTGCCAGGAGCCTCGGCTGGTGCCAGGAGCCTCGGTTGGTGCCAGGAGCCTGGGCTGGTGCCAGGAGCCTCAGCTGGTGCCAGGAGACACGGCTGGTGCCAGGAGCCTCAGCTGGTGCCAGGAGACACGGCTGGTGCCAGGAGCCTCAGCTGGTGCCAGGAGCCTCAGCTGGTGCCAGGAGCCTCAGCTGGTGCCAGGAGCCTCAGCTGGTACCATGAGCCTGGGCTGGTGCCAGGAGCCTCGGCTGGTGCCAGGAGCCTCGGTTGGTTGCCAGGAGCCTGGGTTCGTGTCAGGAGCCTCAGCTGGTGTCAGGAGCCATCACACTCACCCTACCATCACACTCACCCTACCATCACTCACCCTACCATCACACTCACCCTACCATCATACTCACCCTACCATCACACTCACCCTACCATCACTCACCCTACCATCACACTCACCCTACCATCATACTCACCCTACCATCACACTCACCTACCATCACACTCACCCTACCATCACTCTCACCCTACCATCACTCTCACACTACCATCACACTCACCCTACCATCACACTCACCCTACCATCACACTCACCCTACCATCACACTCACCCTACCATCACACTCACCCTACCATCACACTCACCCTACCATCACTCTCACTCTACCATCACTCTCACCCTACCATCACTCTCACACTACCATCACCCTACCATCACTCTCACTCTACCATCACTCTCACCCTACCGTCACTCTCACCCTACCATCACACTCACCCTACCATCACACTCACCCTACCATCACTCTCACCCTACCATCACACTCACCCTACCATCACACTCACCCTACCATCACACTCACCCTACCATCACTCTCACTCTACCATCACTCTCACTCTACCATCACCCTACCATCACTCTCACCCTACCATCACTCTACCATCACTCTCACCCTACCATCACTCACCCTACCATCACTCTCACCCTACCATCACTCTCACCCTACCATCACACTCACCCTACCATCACTCTCACCCTACCATCACTCTCACCCTACCATCACTCACTCTACCATCACCCTCACCCTACCATCACTCTCACCCTACCATCACCCTACCATCACTCTCACCCTACCATCACCCTACCATCACTCTCACCCTACCATCACCCTACCATCACACTCACCCTACCATCACCCTACCATCACACTCACCCTACCATCACTCTCACCCTACCATCACCCTACCATCACCCTACCGTCGCTCTCACCCTACCATCACCCTACCATCATCCTACCATCACACTCACCCTACTATCACTCAAACCCTACCATCACCCTACCATCACACTCACGCTACCATCACACTCACCCTACCATCACCCTCACCCTACCATCACTCTCACCTTACCATCACTCTCACTCTATCATCACCCTACCATCACTCTCACCCTACCATCACCCTACCATCACCCTACCATCACACTCACCCTACCATCACACTCACCCTACCATCACTCTCACCCTACCATCACTCTCACCCTACCATCACACTCACCCTACCATCACACTCACCCTACCATCACCCTCACCCTACCATCACACTCACCCTACCATCACTCTCACCCTACCATCACACTCACCCTACAATCACACTCACCCTACCAACACCCTCACCCTACCATCACACTCACCCTACCATCACACTCACCCTACCATCACACTCACCCTACCATCACACTCACCTTACCATTACTCTCACCCTACCATCACTCTCACCCTACTATCACGCCCTACCATCACATTCACCCTACCATCACACTCACCCTACCATCACCACTCACCCTATCATCACACTCACCCTACCATCACACTCACCCTAACATCACCCCTCACCCTACCATCAACCTCACCCTACCATCACCCTCACCCTACCATCACACTCACCCTAACATCACACTCACCCTACCATCACCCTCACCCTACCATCACCCTCACCCTACCATCACATTAGCTCACCCTACCATCACACTCACCCTACAATCACACTCACCCTACCATCACACTCACCCTACCATCACACTCACCCTACCATCACACTCACCCTACCATCACACTCACCCTACCAGCACACTCACCCTACCAACACACTCACCCTACCATCACACTCACCCTACCATCACACTCACCCTACCATCACTCTCACCCTACCATCACTCTCACCCTACCATCACTCTCACCCTACCATCACTCTCACTCTACCATCACACTCACCCTATTATCACACTCGCCCTACCATCACACTCACCCTACCATCACACTCACCCTACCAACACACTCACCCTACCAACACCCTCACCCTACCATCACACTCACCCTACCATCACACTCACCCTACCATCACACTCACCCTACCATCACACTCACCCTACCATCACCCTCACCCTACCATCACACTAGCTCACCCTATCTTCACATTAGCTCACCCTACCATCACACTCACCCTACCATCACTCTCACCCTACCATCACACTCACCCTACCATCACCCTCACCCTACCATCACACTAGCTCACCCTACCATCACATTAGCTCACCCTACCATCATTCTTACCCTACCATCACATTAGCTCACCCTACCATCATTCTTACCCTACCATCACACTCACCCTACCATCACACTACACCCTACCATCACTCTCACCCTACCATCACTCTCACCCTACCATCACTCTCACCCTACCATCACACTCACCCTACCATCACACCCTACCATCACTCTCACCCTACCATCACACTCACCCTATCATCACACTCACCCTTCCATCACACTCACCCTACCATCACACTCACCCTACCATCACACTCACCCTACCATCACACTCACCCTACCATCACACTCACCCTACCATCACACTCACCTACCATCACACTCAACCTACCATCACACTCACCCTACCATCACACTCACCCTACCATCACTCTCACCCTACCATCACACTCACCCTACCATCACACTCACCCTTCCATCACACTCACCCTTCCATCACACTCACCCTACCATCACACTCACCCTACCATCACACTCACCCTACCATCACACTCACCCTACCATCACACTCACCCTACCATCACACTCACCCTACCATCACACTCACCCTACCATCACTCTCACCCTACCATCACACTCACCCTACCATCACACTCCCCTTCCATCACACTCACCCTTCCATCACACTCACCCTACCATCACACTCACCCTACCATCACACTCACCCTACCATCACACTCACCCTACCATCACACTCACCCTATCATCACACTCACCCTACCATCACACTCACCCTACCATCACACTCACCCTACCATCACTCTCACCCTACCAGCACACTCACCCCTACCATCACACTCACCCTACCATCACACTCACCCTACCATCACCCTCACCCTACCATCACTCTCACCCTACCATCACTCTCACCCTACCATCACTCTCACCCTACCATCACTCTCACCCTACCATCACACTCACCCTATTATCACACTCGCCCTACCATCACACTCACCCTACCATCACACTCACCCTACCATCACACTCACCCTACCAACACCCTCACCCTACTATCACACTCCCCCTACCATCACACTCACCCTACCATCACACTCACCCTACCATCACACTCACCCTACCATCACCCTCACCCTACCATCACACTAGCTCACCCTATCTTCACATTAGCTCACCCTACCATCACACTCACCCTACCATCACTCTCACCCAACCATCACACTCACCCTACCATCACCCTCACCCTACATCACACTAGCTCACCCTACCATCACATTAGCTCACCCTACCATCATTCTTACCCTACCATCACACTCACCCTACCATCACACTCACCCTACCATCACCCTCACCCTACCATCACTCTCACCCTACCATCACTCTCACCCTACCATCACACTCACCCTACCATCACACTCACCCTACCATCACTCTCACCCTACCATCACTCTCACCCTACCATCACACTCACCCTACCATCACACTCACCCTACCATCACACTCACCCTACCATCACACTCACCCTACCATCACACTCACCCTACCATCACACTCACCCTACCATCACACTCACCCTACCATCACACTCACCCTACCATCACTCTCATCCTACCATCACACTCACCCTACCATCACTCTCACCCTACCATCACACTCACCCTACCATCACACTCACCCTACCATCACACTCACCCTACCATCACTCTCACCCTACCATCACACTCACCCTACCATCACACTCACCCTACCATCACACTCACCCTACCATCACACTCACCCTACCATCACACTCACCCTACCATCACACTCACCCTACCATCACACTCACCCTACCATCACACTCACCCTACCATCACCCTCACCCTACCATCACTCTCACCCTACCATCACACTCACCCTACCATCACCCTCACCCTACCATCACTCTCACCCTACCATCACTCTCACCCTACCATCACACTCACCCTACCATCACACTCACCCTACCATCACACTCACCCTACCATCACACTCACCCTACCATCACACTCACCCTACCATCACACTCACCCTTCCATCACACTCACCCTACCATCACACTCACCCTACCATCACCCTCACCCTACCATCACTCTCACCCTACCATCACACTCACCCTACCATCACACTCACCCTACCATCACACTCACCCTACCATCACACTCACCCTACCATCACCCTCACCCTACCATCACTCTCACCCTACCATCACTCTCACCCTACCATCACTCTCACCCTACCATCACTCTCACCCTACCATCACACTCACCCTACCATCACACTCACCCTACCATCACACCCTACCATCACACTCACCCTACATCACACTCACCGTACCATCACTCTCACCCTACCATCACACTCACCCTACCATCACACTCACCCTATAATAACACTCACCCTATTATCACACTCACCCTACCATCACTCTCACCCTACCATCACACCCTACCATCACTCTCACCCTACCATCACACTCACCCTACCATCACACTCACCCTACCATCACACTCACCCTACCATCACACTCACCCTACCATCACACTCACCCTACCATCACACTCACCCTACCATCACACTCACCCTACCATCACTCTCACCCTACCATCACACTCACCCTACCATCACACTCACCCTACCATCACACTCACCCTACCATCACACTCACCCTACCATCACACTCACCCTACCATCACACTCACCCTACCATCACACCCTACCATCACTCTCACCCTACCATCACACTCATCCAGCAAGGTAATCAGCTCAGTTGACATTCATTTATTCAACATAAAATAAACGGAAATAATTAATTAATCGAGAACTTTTTTACCACATTCTGGAACTCTGCTGCAAATCTGCCACAATTTTTATGTTTCACCAGTTTTACAATTTGCAAATTTGTTCCGGAGCATTTCGTTCGCTGCATGAGCTGCCATAGGGACGTATATGCAGCTCTCTGGAGTAGGAGTTTATACCTTAAAGACAAGGCCATACGTGATGTGGAATGCCAAACACCTAAACCAGATGACACCAGCTGCATGTGGGAAGCTGGTAAGCATTAGAAGGGCGGTAACGAATACTGTCATAACCTACGTGAGACTAGTGCTATAATATGCAGCGACGGCAAGGAACTAGCATTTCGTGAAGCACAACAATAATCTTGGAAATGTACAAACATTTGCAATAAGGTTTTTACCATAAAGGAACCAAGCTGTCTTGATAGAAACGTATGAGGACACATGATCACAACATTCAAAATACTGTGAGGAATACATGGACAAGAAAGCTTGTCCGTGTTCTGTATTCTTCTTAGTTAATTCTCTTTAAACTGAGTGAAACATGTGCACGCTAATTCGCTGGGCATTAGTGGAATGACCTGATCAGCTAGTGGAATGACCTGATCAGCTAGTGGAATGACCTGATCAACTAGTGGAATGTCCTGATCAACTAGTGGAATGTTCTGATCAACTATTGGAATGACCTGATCAACTAGTGGAATGCACTGATCAACTAGTGGAATGTTCTGATTATTGTCGCAACATAATTTAAAAAGAATGTTATTTGGCCCATATATGAGAGCCAATTATCAAAATGGCGGACCTCGGCGGGTCATAGACTAAAATGCCAAATTGAGAGAGCATCAAGAATAATCTCAATTAGCTTCAAATGAGCTTTCGGAGGCAACCATCTTTAGTTGACATTATGACTTATGTTTGAGATTGAGAACTCTTTGTCCCATGTGTTTGCCCAACCACTTGAGCTGGATGGTAGAGCGACGGTCTCGCTTCGTGCTGGTGGGCATTTAACCCCCCCGACCGTCCAAGTGGTTGGGCACCATTCCTTTCTCCCTTCCCATCCCAAATCCTTATCCTAACCCTTTCCAAGTGCTATATAGTCGTAATGGCTTGGTATTTACCCCTGATAATTCACTTCCCTTCCCTGTGTACAGATTTTCTGCTGCTTTCATTTAATATATATATATATATATATATATATATATATATATATATATATATATATATATATATATATATATATATATATATATATGCGGAAAATCCACAGAGAAATATGAAATGAGGTGAACGTTTCGGCTTTGTTAAAGCCTTTGTCAACACCAGACTGACTGAGTCAGTCTGGTGTTGACAAAGGCTTTAACAAAGCCGAAACGTTCACCTCATTTCATATTTCTCTGTGGATTTTCCGCATAAAATGATCAGTGTTTTGTGATCGTCAATTGCATATATATATATATATATATATATATATATATATATATAATATATATATATATATATATATATATATATATATATATATATATAGTAAAGTTCAATTTATTTATTTTTAACATGATCTGTTATGCTACTAATATATTCTGATTAGGTGCATATACATAATCAGTAACCCAGCATAACATCCTGAGTGCGCGAATGATTTCCCTCTTCACCTCAATTACAAATATTCCGTTAGTTTCATCACTATCCTTATCAGATACTAATTAATAATCTGCCCTTCCTCTCTGCACTCTCATGTGAGCCATTCTTTCTCCCATCAGAACGTCCTGAGTGCAGCAGTAGTGAGTGGCAGTGTCTGAGTGGGCAGTGCATCGACAAGACGGGCCGCTGTGACCTCGAATTTCAATGCTTCGACAAGACTGATGAAATTGCGTGTGGTAAGTGGCAAGAACGTGTTGATACCGGTTTTGGTCTTGTCTAATTGAGTTGAAACTGATTTGGTCTTTTCTAAGTGTGTTGAAACTTATTTGATCTTTTCTAAGTGTGTTGAAACTTATTTGATCTTTTCTAAGTGTGTTGAAACATATTTGGTCTTTTCTAAGTGTGTTGAAACTTATTTGGTCTTTTCTAAGTGTGTTGAAACTTATTTGGTCTTTTGTAAGTGTGTTGAAACCTGTTTTGGTCTTTTCTAAGTGTGTTGAAACCTGTTTTGGTCTTTTCTAAGTGTGTTGAAACCTGTTTTAGTCTTTTCTAAGTGTGTTGAAACCTGTTTTGGTCTTTTGTAAGTGTGTTGAAACCTGTTTTGGTTTTATTTAAGTGTGTGCAAACCAGTTTTGGTCTTTTCTAAGTGTGTTGAAACCTGTTTTGGTCTTTTCTAAGTGTGTTGAAACCTGTTTCGGTCTTGTCAGAGCATGTTGAAACAGGTTACTTTTCTTCCCATAACTATGTGCTCATTATAGGTTGAAAAGTATTTGCAATTATGCTCGCGCATAGTTACTAACACTTTCCCGTCTATGATGCCCGCTGGAACATTCAAATAGTTGCAAGTCTGTCAATAATACACTGTTTAACTTATACATAATTAGAAAGACTTTTCTATCCATACTGCGTTCTGATATAGAGGTGCTGTCCCCCACAGAGGAGGAGGCGTGCCGGCCCGGCTCTGTGAGGTGCCATAGTGGACAGTGTGTTGCCGCCTCTCTCTGGTGTGACTGGCATCCTGATTGTCCTGATGCTTCTGATGAGCGCTTCTGTGGTGAGTACTGTGGTGGTGACGGTGCCCTGGGGACTACTGGTGTGGTGTGATATTTTTCATTGCAATTTTTTTTTTGTATTAATCTGTGTAATCATATGTTTGTATTCACCTTGTTGTGTCTGCTGGGTCGAGAATTAGCTCTTGGACCGGGCTCTTCTGCCCGTTGGTCGTCTGATGTATTGACTCGATCCTGACATATTTCCGTGTCATACTTTGTTTGTAAATTATGAATTTAGTTTGCTTCTACAACCTCTCATTTAGCTCATTCCTTGTTCCCACTACTTTTATGAAAACTCTTTAGCGTCTCTAAGACTCGTCTGAGTCTCAAGCTTCCATTCGTGCCCTCTTGGTATTCATTATGATCAGTTCCTCTTTTTCCCACTCTGTCAATTCCTCTAATACGTCTCTATCATGTCCCCTCTCTCTTTCCTCTTTTCTAGCGTCGCCATGTTTGGTTCTTTCAGTCTCTTTATCCCTCGCAATTCTGGGACGAGCATCTTAGCAAACTTCTGAACCTTTTTTCAGTTTCCTAATGTGATTCTTTAGACGGGGCTCCGTGATTGTTCGACATACTCTAAGACTGGTTTCTCATTAGGCGGTGTACAGCGATCTGAGTGCCTCCTTATTTAGGTTCCTGAATGATGTTCTGACTTTTGCTAGTGTGTGTGTGTGTGTGTTTACTATTTGTATTTACTTTTTGTATCTGTAGAATCGAGCTACTAGCTCTTGGACCTCGCCTTTCTATCCAATTTATTTTTCCTTTATTATGTCTACTATATACATTTCTTTTACACACGCGCACACACACGTCCCCAGGAAGCAGCCCTTAGCAGGTGTCTAACTCCCAAGTGCCTATTTACCGCTAGGTGAACAGGGGAGCGAGGGTGAAAGAAACTCTGCCCATTGTGTTTCTGCCTCTGCCGGGGATCGAACCCGGACCCTTAGGACTACGACCCCCAGAGCGCTGTCCACTCAGCCGCGAGGCCCCCCTTGTGTGTGTGTGTGTGTGTGTGTGTGTGTGTGTGTGTACTCACCTATTTGTGCTTGCAGGAGTTGAGCTTTGGCTCTTTGGTCCCGCCTCTCAACTGTCAATTAAACTGGTGTACAGATTCCTGAGCCTACTGGGCTCTATCATATCTACATTTGAAACTGTGTATGGAGTCAGCTTGTGTGTGTGTGTGTGTGTGTGTGTGTGTGTGTGTGTATGTGTGTGTGTGTGTGTGTGTGTGTGTGTGTGTGTGTGTGTGTGTGTGTGTGTGTGTGTGTGTGTGTGTGTGTGTGTGTGTGTGTGTGTGTGGTTATCAGTGTCTAAGAGAGAGTGGGGTCTAGCTCTGCATACCCCGCCTGCTAGCCTTGTATCTGATACGTTTCATCTTAACAACTCTGGCTTTCAAATTTTTTGTCGAATACGGCCTTAAAGTTGTGGATGGAGGTGGCTTCCACAACGTACTCTTTTAGATCATTCCACTTGTTAACTCCCCGTACAGGGTACGAGTATTGGCTTACGGCCCTTCGGCTCACTTGTGTTTCCAGCTTCCACCTGTGTCCTCTTGTCCTGCTTCTCTCAGTCTGAAGAGGCTATCCTTCACCGCATTATCTTAGTATCTTGTATGTTGTGATCATAGCCCCTCTATTCCTTCTATCCTCGAGAGTGGTGGTATTTAGTTCCATTAGCCTATGTTCGTATGCGTGTGTGTGTACTCACCTAATTGACCTGGTGGGGTCGAGCATCTGCTCTGAAGCCCCGCCTTCCGACCATCATTAGTTGATGTAGTGACTCTTTTCACTCGTTTTCTTATCATATTCACATTTAAAACTGTGTATTGAATTGGCTTCGACAACTTTCTCATCTGGTCCGTTCCGCTTATTTACGACTCCGAGACTGGAAGAGTTCTTTCTGACATCTCTGTGACTCATCTGTGTTCCCGGTTTTCAATTATGTCCTCTCATTTAACTGTTCATTAATGGGCTGGACGGTAGAGCGACGGTCTCGCTTCATGCAGGTCGGTGTTCAATTCCCGACCGTCCAAGTGACTGGGCACCATTCCTTTCCTCCCCCCCCCCCCCCCATCCTTCCCCCGTCCCAAATCCTTATTCTGACGCCTTCCTAAGTACTATATATAGTCGTAATGACTTGGCGCTTCCTCCTGATAGTCTCTCCCCCTCCCTCCTTAATTTGAACATTGCTTCTATATCTACTTTGTCAATATCACCTTTAGTATCTTGTATGTGGTCAACATGTCTCCCTTATTACATCCTTCCTCTAGTATAGTGAGGTCCAGTTCCCTCAGTCATTCTTCAGTGTTCAATCACCTTAGCTCAGGAATGAGCCTTGTCGCATATTTTGTAACCTTTTCTAGTTTAGTTTTGGGCTGGTTTAGGTCGGGGTTCCATGCCGGGGCAGCATACTCGATAACATGTCTCACAGAGGAACAGCGCTCGGAAGGGAACTTTGTACAAGTTGCTGAAGGATAACAGGATAACAGGAAGTTTGTCAGTATGGTATGCGCTGCCCCTCGTTATCCTGCTGCTGTGTGCCTCAGGTGACAGTAAACAGGTATCTGGGAGTTAGGTAGCCAATCCTCCGGTTTTCGTAGTACATATAGTAATATACTATAAGTATTCATATAGTAATATACTATAAGTATTCATATAGTAATATACTATAAGTATTCATATAGTAATATACTATAAGTATTCATATAGTAATATACTATAAGTATATTACGTTACTATCGTTACTATAAGTAACGATGAGCACAATAGTATACATATTCCGACGTACAGCGAAATTATAAAGTAGAAATAGGCACTTTTGACCACTTTGAAATTGGTACTTTTGTGTTGAGCGGATTTGGACAAACCGGAAAAATATTTTTGACTTGTGTTGCTTTGACACACTAAACTAACCTATCCAAACCTTTCTAGGCCTAATATAGTACATATGTGTGCTATGTTAGGCCTAGGAATATTTAAGTTGGTTTTTTAGCTTCATTTTTTTGTAAAAGAATTTCTTACTAGTCAGTATACTTCTATATATAAGCTAAGTACATACGAATTCGTGACAATTGACGATCTTCACAATAGATACTCTGTAAACAGGCGGATTAGGCAACTATTGTGAATGGCATCCTGTACAGGGTCAGTCGATAGCTTAGAGTTAGGGGGGGGGGGTTGATAAGCCTAACAGGGCTTTGGGGGGGTTGATAAGCCTAACAGGGCTTTGGGGGGGGTTGATAAGCCTAACAGGGCTTTGGGGGGGGTTGATAAGCCTAACAGGGCTTTGGGGGGGGGGTTGATAAGCCTAACAGGGTTCCAGTACCCAACTCATTAAATTTTAGACACTTCGACCCGAACGTAAAAACTGCAGTGGTTTAGACAAATGAACCCCACCAGAATACTGACGCTACAGAGGCCTAATAATTACTGACTCTTGAGGCCAGATTCACGAAGCAGTTTCGCAAGCACTTACGAACCTGTACATCTTTTCTCAATCTTTGGCGGCTTTGTTTCCAATTATTAAACAGTTAATGAGCTCCGAAGCACCAGGAGGCTGTTTATAACAATAACAACAGTTGAATGGGGAGTTTTCATGCTTGTAAACTGTTTAATAAATGTAACCAAAGCCGTCAAAGATTGAGGAAAGATGTTCACGTTCGTAAGAACCTGCGTAACTGCTTCGTGAATCTGGCCCCTGTAACTTAGTTGAGTTACCTAGATAATGACACTTCAAGGTTAGGCAAAAACCGCTGCTTTTTTCACGTAGTGATAATCGAACTTCCGAAGCCTAACCCCACCAAAAAAAAGGTTCAGAACTTTCCTCAATATTACCTTCCCACGCTGAATGGGGTGGCTAAGGGGTAATGGCCACCTTTTTTTCAATTTATGGCCCTCAAAGCTTATATGATTGCTTATATGATTATATACTGGCCCTTATATGATTGCAACGCCGCGCTGCTCTGCATCAAAGAGTGTGGGTTTTTTGTGCTTGTTTGAGCGTTAAACTGGAGAAATTTTGCAAGCAGTATATCGCTATAAGCTTTTAAGGTTGGATGGTCTGTGGCTATCCTCTGTATTGTTGGGTGGTTGGTGGTTATCCTCTGTAATGTTGGGTAGTTTGTGGCTATCCTCTGTAATGTTGGGTAGTCTGTGGCTATCCTATATAATGGTGGATGGTCCGTGGCTATCCTCTATAATGGTGGATGGTCCGTGGCTATCCTCTATAATGGTGGATGGTCCGTGGCTATCCTATATAATAGTGGATGACCCGTGGCTATCCTAGCCCTTCAAGCTGGAAGGTTCCCTGACTATCCTATCGTAACCTGCAGTGCCCATTTTTAATCTGAAAATTACTATTTCTCGAACGCAAAATCATTTTGTAAATGATTCCAAATATATGTGTGAGTTAAAACTTTTAGTACAATTACGAGAGTATTTAGTTTGGCATGAAGACGAGAGACGTGTCATGTTAGTGTTCGCTGGTGTTGATAATAATTGAAATAATTTAATTTATGATTCAATATTTTAAAGAGAGAGAGAGAGAGAGAGAGAGAGAGAGAGAGAGAGAGACAGAGAGAGAGATAGAGAGAGAAAGAGAGAAAGCGAGAGAGAGAGGTAGTATTGAACTACAGACCAGTGTCACTGCTTTCCATTACTGGCAAGATCCTAGAATCATTAATCGCTCATCAAATGATATCTTTTTTTGGCCATCATCGGCTAGTATGTGATCAACAGTGTGGTTTTAGAAAAGGCTGATCTGCTGCTGATCTCTTGCTAAATCTCTCCACTAAGTGGCATCAGTCACTGGATGAGACCAAGATCAGCTGTGTTTTTGTTGCTCTAGATATAGAAGGAGCCTTTGATCGGGTCTGGCACTCTGGATTAATGGCGAAGCTTCAAGCTTAAGCCATCGCAGGTTCCAGCTTAGTGTTAATAAATGACTACTTTCAAGTATGGACTCTAAGGGTAGTCCTCAATGAAGCAGAATCCGGAAGCCACTC